TGATGGGATGAAATCAGCTCATTTGGGTTATTTTGCTAAGCCCTTCTCGGGTCAAACATGGACCAATCTAACCCATTTCTACAGCTGCTTTAATGTTGCAGGATAAATAACCAAGGACGTCACACCCAGGGGCAAATTACAGTAGCCAATTAACCAAACTTTCATGTTTTGGTACTGTGGGAGACACCCACAATGCAAACACCACACAGGAACCACGAGATTTAAACTTACTTGCTGCGAGGCAGCAATTCAGACTCGATATAAAACTCTGCACAAAATATTGCTTGAAAAAACTGACTTGATGACATGCTCTTTGGTATAAGTGTGAATAATTAACAAAGCTTGTACTAACTACTTAGCAGATTAAAGGCTAATGGGCTAATGTTATTTTAAGTGAACCAAAGTCGTTCTCAAGACTGAAGTAAAGTCATTAGCACAACTCGCTGACATAAACATTGTTATACAGCATTTCACCATCTTACCTCCTTTTATTCCTTCATGTGGAAGAGAAGTCTGATTAGGTCATATCAGGTAGCAAACTCATGTAAACGTTTTAACTAAAAAAACTATTAAATGTAAAATAACCACTGTGAAATGACTTAATTTAGGTTATGAATGGAGACAGTGGTGTTTTAAACACTGAAATCCTTAATTTTAAGAAATGTTATAAATCCATATATGTAACAAAGGGGTCTGAGTTTTCTGTTTTTTCTCTCTTTCTGCAGGTGTAGAATCAGACTTCTAGGATATCACCTTGTATTTCCTTCATTCTGTTGTCTCCTTTATTTTTTTTACTTTTTTGCCCCACCTCTTACCCTTTCTTCTGTCTTTGTGTCCTTTGCATTAGGAATAAACCCAAAGCAATTTGTGTTTATGTACATACGTCAGGTTGTGCATCGTAGAGAAAGCCATGATGCTCCACCTGTGAAAGTAAATCTGCTGGGTTTCTCCTCAGCACTCAAACAGTTTTGAGTACCAAAATGCTCAATGGGACATTTTGACATAAATGCTTTGCCTTTCTAGTGGTCAGATTGAATATTGAACAAAAAAGTCACATTTTCATTGTCACAAAATTTCTCCAGAGTATTTTGTTCTGAAACTAAAAGCAATTCCCTATGAGTAAATTATCATAAAAGCTATTTATAATTTTTAATTACATCTGGACTTTTGCACTGGCTGATTATGCATGATCATCAAAAATGGTTAACTACATATTTATGTAGTTAAAAACATAACCCAAAAGGACTATTTGGCTGATTTTGAAAAAATAACAACAACAACAAAAAAAAAAACTACCCATAATCAACTAAATGATTGTTTTAAGTAAGCAAAAACTGTGATGCAAACTAGATTAAAAAAAGACAGGATAATATTTGGGCTGTGTTTGCATTATCATTGTAAAGTCCTGAAACTGGAATTTCCCCCAACATTAAATGAAAATGTTTTTTTATTTTTTTTTTTACGAGCCAATAGAAAAATCACCATCAAGTTATTGGAGCACTTACCTCCTTAGCTGTATGGTTCAAAATGGCAGACTGTGGAGCATGATAATCCTTCCATATATTTATTTTTACGTAATGTTTGGTTAAAACTTCTCAACTTCTCTCCCAGCAGTATAAACCCAGAATTTCTGTTCAAAATAATGTGTGCAATATTTATCCTTGTTGCACCAATGTTATCGATTTAAGTTGTTTTCTTCTTTTAAGGCAGAAAATGTCGCTTAAGCCCGGGTACCTGCACGGTCTTAAGTCAGTAGAAACTGCAGCACACATTTGTGTAACTGATATGGCTGCTATGTTCCCTGTGTGGGTAATGGGGCAAATGGTCGGTTCCCTGGTGGGAAAATGGGGTCATTTAGTGTCATAACATCAACTGTGCAATGTACAGGTGAATACATGCCCTTTGTGTTCCTTCATGACACATTCTTCCAGTCACTGTGGGGCCTTTTTAATGGCTGCATCTCTCTGAATGATCATTGAATTTATACAGTGTGTCAGCTAATATAATCTGTAAGGGGGTGGCAAGTTTGTGTCGAGTGCCAGGAAGTGTGTGTGTGTTTGTGTGTGTGTGTGTGTGTGTGTATGGCTGCCGGGTGCTGAGTACTTGTGTCACAGGCAGCGAAAGGCAGAACAAGATGGTAATTTTGCTGTTAGAGGATGCATGAAAAGCAGCATTTCTGTGTCTGTTTATTTGTAAAACTCTGTCCAAAATCTTTGTGTGTGTGCGGCGGGAACTTTGGTTTAAGTACATCCACTTCAGCGATGCACAGCAGAGTGAGTGCACTCTAGACTGTATTGCCGCATTTACGTGATCAGTGCTTATTACAAAACGCCGGTGCATGCTGCTGGGTATGTGTATATCTCGGTGTCCATCAACCATGTCTGTATATGTAGGCCTATTTTAATTGTTGCTATGGAAACAGAGTGCTGCCAGTGAAGTCCAGATTCAAAGAGGCCAAATCTTCCTCTCTCTGTCTCACTCTGTAACTCTCCTTGCTGTCTTTCTCGTTCCCTCCATCCTTCTCGTTGAGTTTCTCTTCCCTTTTCTCTCCCGTCCTCCAGTCGGCACTGCCTCTCTCTTGTTGCCTTCCTCTCCCCAGTACCCACTTCATGTCCTTGTGCCTCCTATTATCTCTCCCTCCTTCTTCCCCTCCCACCTCTCCACCCTTCCTGCGGAGTGGTGTGCAATTGAATATTAACACAGGGACCTGTAATTAGAGCTGACGAATCTCCAGCAATTAGTTTTCCCCTAAGAAGTTGTTCTGTCATCTCCACATGCATCCCTTTATCCCTCCCTCAATCTTCTTCTTGCTTTTTCCTCCCTCTTTGTCATTCCCCGTCTCATCAGCTGTCAGCTTCACACGGTGGATATTGTCTGAGTGTTTTTGTTTGCCATTGTAACTTCCATCTGCCTCGTTAGCTGCATTCATTTGCGAGTTGGACCCACGATGTACGAGCGGCTACATCCACATCTTCCCTGGTATCATCTGCCCACGAAAGTGAGGCAAACATCTATTCCACCTACACCCACTCTGACTATAAGTGAATAAACTCAGGGGGACAAATGCCCTCCCACTCAGTCACATGTAAACATACAGTAACAAACAGAAGAGAGCTTCTACTTCATGTGCAGCTTTTTGTCTCTTTTTCCTGCCAATATTTCCGATCTTTCCGCACAACCGTTTTCCCAGCAGCACTTTCCAGCTCATTTAGGAAGATAGCAAGGTATCCCTTACCTGGAAGTATATAAAGTGCCTCCAGTTTCTTCTTGGTTTGCCCCTGGGTCTCTTTCCAGTGACATGCCTTGCAAATCTCCCATAGGTTCTTGGAGGTATCCAGATCGGATGGTAGAATCACCTCCAGTGGACCTTTTGACGTGGCAGAGCAGTGACTCTAATTAGTTTTTCATGGATGAGGGAGATCTGAGACCTCCTTCCCCACAAACAAAGATGCTTGTATCCAGCTTGTCATTCTTCCAATCACATCTCATGAGAATGGGTGGGAGTTTGAAGATGGACAGAAAAGTAAAAAAGCTTTTCTTTTTAGTTTTATTCTTTCCTTACCATGACAAACCAGAGCTGGAATGGTATTATTGCCCAACAACTCTGCAGTCTCTGTCCATTGGCCGATCTATCCTACCATTACTCATGAAGAAGAGTGATGGTAGGATAGACCATCAAGAGTGACAATTACCCTCAAGCTTGTAGGACCAGGCAACTTTTTTCCAGATCAAACCCTTGTTTGTCGGATACAGAGGCTCTACTTCTGCTTCTTGTCCCTTCACGCTCGTTTGGGAACCATTTCAGTTCTTGACATAGATTATGACTTGAAGATGTCAACAGGAAGTCATCATCATCTAACACCTGGCGGTTACCAAACCAGACATTTCTTCTCCACAGCTATGCTGAGATGCTGGCCTTGAACAACACAAATTGGAATCACTGCACTGAGAACAAGCTTGAATATTGATTGGGAATGTCAACAGAGCTCTTTCTCTGGCTACACAAGGACTGCATAGCTCCCACATGCACTCCTGACACCTTGTGGTCCAGAACTCCCTCAAAATGACCATGACTGACTCAGTGACTCCACAGCAAGAAAGATCACAGTGTTTCTCTTGAATCTGAAGTTTCGGTACCATTTTCCGTCTTGCTCTGCCCACTGTTTATCGTCTCGCCAGGCCCTCCCACCCATCTGCATTCCCATTATTAAGAAACTCTATAAATAAGCACAGAAAAAGAGGGAGTCAGTCAGTGAGAGCAAGGTACGGTCAAGTAGAACGAATGGAGTGTAAGGATGAAGGGAGGGGTGGACAGTAGAAGAGTGTTAAACTAGGCCAACAGGGGCTGACGGAGGAAGAGGGCGGGTTTCATTTCAAAGCCTTGTGAATTGTCCAGAGCGCCTCTACCGTCAATCACTTAATTAGTTTCAGCATCAGTCGGTTTGTCTGTGTCTCGGGTTGGCGCGTCACTCATCTTGCCCCAGACAGTTTGTCAGGCAGCCTGAGTCGGCGTTTAGTCGTCTTTCCCTCCATCTGTCCTTTCTGTCATTTCGTTTACTTGCTTCATTTTTTCTCCCTACATCCCTTCTCTCTCTTGCTTTCTCCTTTCCTTGAGCCCCTCTGTTCTCCCATCCAATCAAGAAACCAGTGTCTCATCTGTAACTTGTACTGTAACTTTTGTTCTCCAGATTCTGCATACATTATTGATTCATATTTCACATTGTTTCCTGTATTGCCGCTTTAATTTTTAAGTGTCAAGCATGACTTCTTCCATGTACAAAGCTGCTTTAGAACAAGGGTATCCCTTCCCCCCCCGCCCCCCCGTCACTCCAACTCTCCAAATCTTTGAGCATATAGATATGATCTGAAACATATGATGGATGTAGCATTTGAGCTTTTTGTGGTACTCAATTGATTTACGACTGTATGCTAACTTCTGATTCCTTCTCTTCACCACCTTCCTCTCTTCCTCACTCCCTACTCATTTCCTGTCTTTCCAGGTATTTCTCTCCCGCTCCTACATTATGCCTGTTCGTGGACGCTGCAGCTCCTCCCTGCCTCACCAACATGCTGGGGCTCATTTCTCCCCCCGAATGGTTGCTCAGGTGCAACACGGGGCTCGGACCCTTCATCCACCTCCATCGGTTCACCGCACCACAGGCTCGTCTTTATGCCTGCCTCTCCTTTTTCTGCTGCTCTGTCTTCTCCACCTACCCCCAGCCTGTCACTCAAGGAGAGAAAAGGGCGGCGGAGGAGGCGGTGGCGGCCATTACATGCCCATCCCGCAGCCCCCTCCGCACCACATGGCCCTGCCTAACATCCTGCGGGGCCTGAGCATCGCTGTTGTGCTGGTGGGCAACTCCAGCGAGGTGGCATTGGCAGGGGCCAGAGAGAAGGAGGACTTTCTCCACATGGCTCCGAACGTGGAGGTGCTGACCATGAATGAAACGGACCCCAAAAGCATTATAAAGAGCATCTGCGACCTGATGACGGAGCACTGGCTGCAGGGTGTCGTGTTTGGGGACGACACAGATCAGGAAGCCATCGCTCAGATCCTGGACTTCATTTCAGCCCAAACCCACATTCCCATCCTCGGAGTACGTGGAGGCTCCTCGATGATCATGGCTGCCAAGGTAGGACTCAAGAAAAATCGCAGAAAACCAAAAGCTTCTAGAATTTGCAGAAACTTTTTAAGGAATGATGGGCAGGCAGTTTGTACATTAGAAACTAAAGAACTGTAAACTTCTCCAATGATTCTGTCCCGCTTTTATGCAAAAATGTCCTACAGATTTCACTTTTTACAGACTGCTGTTATTCCAGCATAACCTTAATAGATTTGATTACCTCACCAACCTCTGCATCTGTAGTTGTGAAAGTGCAATTTAAGCACATTTACCACTGGTACATTGGTATGAATTATTTTCTAAGATAAATACACATGTTTTACTGTGATTAAATGTATACCATTGAACCAAAACGGATAACTAATGGCTACATATATTGATGAATTCGCCTCTCAAGCTCAGAGTTGGAGTGTTCATCAGATTACTTCTGTTTTTGCTTTTTCATGAAACAAATGCAAATTTAACGGGCGTGCGGTCTACACTTTCTTTGCTGTTTGGGTGTTTATTTTTTGGACTCATGGAGTAATTTTGGTAGGTCAGCCACTTCTAGGAAGATTCTCTATTGTTTCATCATGATAACGGCTCCCACTGTGGTTTGCTGCAATCCCAAAGCCTCAGAAAATTATAGACTTGCGAATGACTGTGTTTGTCATCTTTTAGCCTGCTTTGTGCTTTCCGACAGGTTCTATTTAAGTGATCCGTTACCTCTACGTGTCTCACAGTAATCAATCCCAAGTGTGGCTTGTAAAATTGCACTTCTCCCCCACCCCCAAAAAAAATCTGGTCAATCACAAAATATTTTAAAGGAAGAGTTGTGCGTTTTTTTCTCAAGAAATAAAATCGTCTGATGTTAAAATTTCATTAAACATTTACGTAAATGCAAATACTTTTCCTGTGGTGGTAACTAATTTTGCTCTCATAATTAATTTTTCCTCAATCTTCATTTTAATGCGCTCTACCATCTTTAACCTCAGCATGCCTCTTTTGCACTATTGTGACTTCATGACCGCATCCTACAAACAGAAAAACGCCTCAATTCATGCTCTCACTTGGTGTGAAAGTGAACCGCGCTGGTTCGTATTATCTCCATGTGCATAAAGACAGACAGGCGGGCTTAGCTGGGGGCCCTGACTTGAAAGACAAACTGCCAACAGAGCTGATGCCAGCGACAGGATCAGCTGGAGATTGCACCAGGACAGAGCGCTAGATCTCTGCCTATTTACTAGGCCTTGCCTAATGGGATAAAGCAATCTGCTGCTGCTTTATCTGTGGCCCATTGAGATCTGGATTCGAGCAAAATCGGCTCATTCGCTTTGTGCCGTCTTGTCACCGAACTGAAAAATGACCAGTTAAGAAAACAAAATCTCTATCCATCCATGTGGAGAAAGTGAAACCTCACGCACCCATCGGAGTTTCCTCAGCTGCTGACAACATGTCTGCTTTTCTGATGTACTTCACTGTTATATTCACTTTAATGAGGGAGCTCAAGGCACTTCCGAACTGAACTTGCTTCGGTCGTGCTGTTTATGTTGGGGAAAGTGAGACACATTTTCAAGTGGCAGTGTGAAGCCCACACTCGAGTACGCGTACGACAGTTCCATGTTTGTCCTGCCACACGGCCACTCCGGCTCATCTGTCCTATCGTTGTCTCCGTTGTCATCTCTGCATTTGTCTGGTGACCCTCTGGTGTCAACAGGTTGTTGTAGCTGCAGAGACGTGAGCTGGAGTGACATGGCAAGACCAGCAGCCACCACTGAAGCTCTACTCTCTGTTGCTTCTCATTACTGCTGGAAGGGAAGATATGGCAGGGAACCGTCAGCTTCCATTTAAACATGCACTCCCTCATACCCGGGGACTGCTGTGCGGCACCCACATGTGGCAGGACGATTCCTGGTAGATGATATACAAATTAAGCTCAGAGTTGTTTATACCCCAACAGTAAATACAAATATTTCTACATTTAGCTTTATTTGATGGATGATACAGAGATGGATGGATGTGCTTTACTTGTGTGGTTCATTTACTGCTAAATTGGAGATTTGTTAATTTTTAATCCCTAATCCCAAACTCAAGAATCAATATGGCTGCCACACTATTTAAACAGAGTCCTGGCCGCCTTGATAAACTCTTTATTAATGCTTTTGGCCAATTGTATCTTCTTAAATCTTTCACATACTATTCAGCGACACCTCTGAAAGTGAACAATTACTTTAGCGTTTATCAGCTTGTATTTGCTAACAGTTATTAGCTTGTCACAGATTGCAGCGATTAGCGTATCCCAATGGTTTTCTGTTAGCTGTAAATCACAGTTTAGTATTTCTGTTGACCATTTATCTAATAATTGGTAGATACTAACATTTCTGATGAGTACCTCAATCTTGGTCTTCCTGTCGACTGCCTATTAAATGAAAGGTTTGACGTTGTTACACGGAAGAGGAGAATAAAAGAGCACCTGGGAAGTGAAGAGAGTCACAGACCTCTGCGCAGGCTTGTATGTGTGTGCAAGGACGACATTCCCTATTAAGCACATGTACTGTACGTGCAACAGGAAAGAGCAGTATTTCATGGCAAAGGTTTAAATGGATTTCCCAGACCACGAGGCAGAGTTTGCCTCCCCTGAGAGCTTTCTCCTGGCTGCGCTGGGGCCCTGGAGAGCGAGGACGGGGGTTGCGCTCGGGCTCTGTCTCCAAACGGATTTGTGTCTGCCTAATGGACTGAGACAATGGAGTGGCAAAAATACGATAGAGAAGGATCAGAGAGAAGGAGGGAGGAGGGGGAAGGGGAAGCGAGACGTGGGAAAGTAGAGTAATTGAGATTGTGAGCAGAGAGAATGAGATTGGGTGGAAGAAATTGTGCTTTTAAAGAGAAGCAGCTGGGAGAGGAGAGGTAGGACTTGGGTGAAGAGGGTTTGGCTTGATCAAAGTGTGCTTGTGAAGGCGCTCGAGAGGTGATCGACAAACTCAGACTGGGAGGCAAAAGAGGAGAGAGCAAAAAGGAAAAACTTCCCCAAGAGACTCTGCTTTCCTGCCACTTCAAGAAATTGAATTTTATTATTTAGTCTCACTAAACTCTTAGTACAGAATCTTTCTCATAATTTTTCTGGTCTCTCAAAGCAGTAATGTCTTTCTGACACTCCACGCTACTTGTTGTGGTTTTTGTTTACTTAAAGCCTCCTACAGCCAGGGGCGGACTGGCCATCGGGAGCACTGGGACGTTTCCCGCTGGCCTGGCCGCTGGCCTGGACTGCTCAGGATCACCGAAGGCCAGGACCAAAGATTTGGTTCAGGTCCCACTAAATAAAAAACAATTCAGTACTTGATTGTCTAAAACTCCCACAAACTGCAATTAAGATGGGGAAAAGAGACGCATCCCCTTCGTCTTCTGAGGCTGCCTGTTACAGTAGTGCAGGCACACACCAGGCTCCATCCAGGTGTTATATTAAGAAGCTCAGGTTATTTGCACTCCCTTTTGCAGGAAAACATAGTGCTCAAAGCTCCCACATATTAATGAGAAAACAGAAATATGTCTGATGAAGCAACTTTTGAAAATATGCATAAATAATAGGGTTCTTGTTTGATGTTAAACATTTCCATTTGTTTCAATGTAAAAGTTCACTGCTAGTGTAGAAAGACAGCTGTTTGTCCCAAACCTGCATTAATTCACTGGAATGGTTTCAAATTCCCAGCCTGCATTATTGTACTATTCCGCTCCTGCCTACAGCTTCTTATCAGAGACAAAATGGTTGACATCCTGAATGTCACTGGCTAGAGAAAGGAAAAAAGTTTCCATTGTGCCGAATCAATCATGTCACAAAGGGTCTTTCGCCCCACGGACTGCAGCTGTCTACGATCATATGCTATGCTAAGTTTGGGCAGGTTTCCGCTACAGGAACCAGAACCACATCAGACAAAACAGGTGGAACCAAGAAAGGATGGATTCTGAACCAAACATGGAGCTTCATGATAGAAGTAGGCTAAACAATTCCCACTAACTAAATATCCCCAGCACTTTGTTTCAGTCGTCTCCTCCTCTGTTAACGTTAGCTTACGCAGCAGGAGTTTTACGTTTTTACTTGCAAACAAAACGTTAAGACACTGAGCTTTACTGTAGCGACGAGGCTAGCTGTCCTCTGGATGTTACTGTGGGTTCCTTGGTGACCCATCGGATAAGTAGATGTGTTTCCATTGCAAATGTACCGAAACCTTTTCCAATATTCTACTAATGTCTGAAAAACACAATGTTGCTGTTGTGGTGTTAACATTAGACAAGAAAGGCATGTAAATAAGCTTGTTCACAAGATAATTCATTGAAAATCATGTCAGTGAAGGACGAACAGATAATTCAGCCACCAGCGCTCATCAGAGGAGACGTTGGAGTGACAAGTCGCTTTTACTGGGAAGCGGCTACGTATGTGGCATTTTTTTCTACTCAACTTTTGATGAATTATACGATACTGAGATACCTTTAGTGGAGCCGGCTGCATTGTCTAAGGAGCCCAGCACCTACAAATAAGCTGTATACGAATTGGCATGATGCAAAAAATGTTTCCATTGCAGTTTTGCCAAATACATACATTTTGGTATGGCTGAAAAAACACCTCATCGTACCGCAAAAACATTGTATAAAATATTTTTTTTTTCCTGAAGTTGCTGTGTTTCCAATAAGCCAATTTATTTTTATAATTCCAATTTGCACAATTTTGAGACGAATTGAAATTCAGCTAACGAGCTTTTGGAGTAAACGTGGTTGTTATGGCGACTCTTGGGAGGTTTCACCACTGACGCACGTTCTTATCACCTGTGGATAATGTGTGATTCACGCTCAATATAAAAGTAATTTCCTCGATAAGCCGTGAGTGCTGTTTGAGTTATGAGGCTGACGGATCCCTACAGTGTCTAGAGACGGCAGAAGACAGAGGGCTGCTGTTCTTTCTGCTGTCTTTTGGACACCCGAGATCAAGTAAAAAAGCAGGAAGTAAAAGACAAAATTTGAGACATTAAGCTTAAGAA